ATGTGGATGAGAACCAGGGAATTTGGACGCAGACGCAGGGATGGGGCCACGTGAGGATGAGACAGACTGCGGGGAAGCCCCAGGATTGTAGGCTGCCCAGAAGCTGAGAGAGGCGGGAAGGAGCGTCCCCTTCAGAGGGAGCAGGGCCTTGGTGACACCTTGACTTTGGATTTCTAGCCTCTAGAACCCAGCTCTGTTGTCCCATGCAGCCCGCAGCATGGGATCCAGATCTCTCACCGGCACCCCTCCAGCTCACGACATCTGGGAGCCCTCTACCCCATTCCTGCCACCTAGCTGGGCTCCGGGGCTGCATTCCCTACCACACCAAGGCCTCCTATGCCCCAGTGCCTTTGCACCTCTCACCCCTCTGTCCAGGGTGCTGCTTCCTGCTTTCTCTGTTGGCCTCCTGCAAGGATGTGCGGAGCCTCTTCCTATCTTGCTTTGGGGAGTCACGGGCCCGGCCCTCAGAGAAGCAGCTGGTGGAAGGACAGACTGGGTGAGGGCACAACTGTGAGTGCTGGGAAGGACCAGCGGGAGCACCAGCAATTTGGAGCGTCTCTGTGGCTCAACAGGGCAGACCTCACAGGCCGCTCCTGGCTCAAGTCCGCCCTCACATTCCAGCCTCTGGCTTTGGATTTCCAGGTCATGAGACAAGGGAATTGGAGATGCACTTTGACCATGCCCCCTGCCCTGCCTGTGCTCCAGGACTTGGAGGGCATCGCGCTTGGACACTGCTGCCTCAGTCTCCCCTCTGGGGCTGGCGAGCCTCCATCTCTGCCGGCCTGAGGCCGTTTCTGGTGCGCGGCAAACACACAGTCTCTTTCTGGGTGGAGGGAGGCTTTTCCAAGGCTAGAGACTGGGCTGACAATGTTGGGGCCTCACAGCATGACATCCCCAAAGCCCAGCCCAGGGAACCAGAGACGTCTAAAAGGTTACTCGTTGGCCACTTGGTGGTTTCTAGATGTCCGGACAGATGTGCCATTGTGCCTTCTCAGTAAGGTCCAACACCCCTGTCCCTTCATCCCCCTCGAGGTCCCCCCCCCGCACCAGAGCCTCAGGGAGGCTCACCAGGCCTTGGGGGGCACCACAGCCCCGCCCCCACCCAACTACACACCCCACAGTCGGGCTGGGTCTTTGCAAAGAGGACGTTACAGACTAAATCACGTTCCCCACCCCCACACCCAAATTCACATACTGAAGGACCAAACCCCAATGTGACTGCATTTGGAGATGGGCCTTTAAGAGGCAGTCAGGTTAAAGGAGATCACAAAGGGGGCCTTGATCCCATCAGATTGTGCTTTATAAGAAGCGGGAGCGACTGGGGCGCCTGGGTGGCTCAGTGGGTTAAAGCCTCTGCCTTCGGCTCAGGTCATGATCCTGGGATCCTGGGATCGAGCCCCGCATCGGGCTCTCTGCTCAGCGGGGAGCCTGCTTCCTCCCCCCACCCCTGCCTGCCTCTCTGCCTACTTTTGATCCCTGTCTGTCAAATAAATAAATAAAATCTTAAAAAAAAAAAAGAAGAAGGGGGAGCGACAGGAGTGATCTCTCTGCTCGGAGCGAGCACAGAGGAAGGACCATGGCCAGAGGGCAGCCGACTACAAGCCCGGAAAAGAGCCCTCACTGAGCCCAGCCCTGACGGCCCCCTGACCTGTCTTCCTGCCTCCACGAAGGTGCGAGCGTAATTGTCAGTGGAACCCTGTTTTGTCAGCATGAGCAGACTGGAACAGAGGAGGAGACCAGAAGCCATGAGCCGGCTCGTCTGGAGCACAGGACAGAGAAGGGCAGAGCTGAGGAGGGCGCAGTGGTGCTCAGAGCCCTCTACCACTTCGTGCCCTGAACCCACAGTGGCCACACATGTTTGGGACGGTTGGGGTGTGTGCCACATGAAATCAGCTCCGCGTGTGTCTTGGGCTGTGGGAGAGAGAATGCTCTGGCATGGCCCCAGGCAGGGTCAGAGAGATACAAACAGGAAGAGGGGCAGAGAGACCAAGGAGGGAGGGAGAGACAGAGAGAGACACAGAAAGGGGAGAGACATAGGAGGGAAGGAGAGATGGGGGAGGGAAGGAGAAAGCAAAGGGAGTGTAATTCTAATTGGAAAAATCTGGGGAAAAGTCTACAGATATGCCTTACACTATTCTTGTAATTTTTTATTCTAAGTTTAGAACTATATCAGAATAAAAAATTACAAACAAAACCCACGGCCACTTGCTTGTGGAGGGAAGGGCAGACTGAGGCACCAGTCAGGCATCTGTCCACCCCTGTCCCTGCCTCTCCTTAGCTGTGAGATGCTGGCCAAGATGCCCCCTCAGCTTTCTGTCCATCTCTCAACCTGCTTCCACTGGCCTCAGGGCCTTTGCACACACTGCTCTCCGAGCTTCGAATGCTCAGCCCCTACCCCTAGCCTTCTTCATCCTTCACAGCTTAGGACCAGTGCCCTCCCCAACCTCTCTACTCTCTTCAATCTGTTCAGACACGCCGACCCCCAGGTCTAGGCATTCCCCCAGCTACCATGAAGCCAGCTTCAGTTTTATATTGGGTTTATAAGTTTATAAGTTCACAAGGGAAAAGCGTGTTTCTGCCCCAGACTGAATGCCCCACAAGGCTGTCTTGTCTTGTTTGCCGTGTGTCCCCGGTGTCTTGCCCAGGGCCTGGCATACAGTGGGTGCAGAGCCTTACAGAGAATGGAGATAAAAAGCGGCGAGCTACATCCTCTCCGGGCTGCCCTCTGGGGCAGAGGTGAAGAATGATGGTACAAGGTCATGGTGGCAGGAGGGGCTGTGGGCACGGGGCCAGCCCTCGGGCACCCTGAGCTGGACGATGCCTCCGGGGAGGGATCACTGAGCTGGAAGGAACAGAACTGCGGGCTGTCGGGCACCAGACAGAAGAGCTTCTGTGGTCGGGCACCCGGCTGCCCCAGCAAGGAGCTGCTCTCCCGTCTTGCGGAGCGAGGAAGGCAGATGCCGTGGCTGAGGACTGGCTCCTGCCCCGGGCTGCACAGTGGGGCCACTGTGCCGCAGACACTGGCCCACTGAACCCGGAGAGGGACCCTCTGCAGCTGGAGAGACTCACTTGAAATTCGCATCTGCAGCTGCCCCATTCCTCTCAGCAAGGCTTGGGAGGGGGCTGGCTTTTACATGGTGGGGGGGGAGGGGCAGGGAGCGGGATGAACAAGGCCCTGCTGAGAAAACCCGTCCAAGGGGGACTATGCGCTCCGTGGCCTGCCTCACGCAGAGAGCCCACCCCTGCCGCCTCGTGCCGCGCGCCTCAGCCAGGTCCCCCAACGGCTCTGTGAGTGAGGGATTAACGTCCCCGCTTCACAGACACGGAAACTGAGGCACAAGGAAGTCTTCGGCCCCTCAGGGGCTGGGATTTTCTGGAGCTGGAGACCCTCTTCCCATGTGCTTTTGCAGAGGGACGATTACATCATGAGCTCCTGGGCATCAGCCCCTGCAGTACACTGTTACGGAAGGACGGAGGCGGGCCGAGTGTCCCGCCATCGGATTAAGGGAGCCTGTGCCAACCACGTTCCTTACCCCACGCCGCCCCGAGGACCAAACAGAGGGACACGAGGCCTGGTGGCTCACGTGTCTCCACTCCCTCCCCGCACGGCGTCTTACTCCTGCCCGTGACCGTCCCCCGCTTGCGCAATAGCTACTGAGCGCCGACCGTGCGCCAAGGTCTGTCCTCTTGCTGCCATACAACGGTAATCCAACCCAATGCCCCAGCTGGGGGGGGTCTGGTGGGGGAAACACTACAAACAAGTTACTTATGTGACGTATTTAAGGTATTAGACTTGCCGAGTGTCCTGTGGCTAAGAACCACCGTGCACTTAGTGGCTTACAGCAGCACACATTCGTTCTCGTACCATTCCAGAGGCCGGAGGGAGTCCGAAATCGGCTTCATGGGGCTGAAGGCAAGGTGTGGGCAGGGCCGGTTCCTTCTGGAAGCTCGAAGGGAGAATCTGGGAAAGGTTTGAAAACAGGCTCTCCCTTCGAGCTTCCGGAAGCACCCTTGCGATGACGTGGGGACAGCTCAGGGTCATGTCCCCATTTTGAGGTCCTTAGCTTCATCACATTTGCAGAGTGACTTTGCCGTGCAGGGGAACAATCACAGGGCACGGGGATTAGGATGTGGAAGTCTTTGGGGGCCGCTGTTTAGGAAGGAAACCATTCAGGGACTGAGCCAGTGGGTAATGAATGGCCCCAAGAGGTCCCCTCCGGGAGGGAGGCTTGTGCGCCGAGATCCGAGGGAAGCAAGGGAAGCACGGTGTCTGGGAAGGGCATTCCAGGCAGAGGGAACAGCCAGTGCAAAGTCCGACAGTCAGCACCGGGGAAGAATGGGAAGGAGCTTCTAGAACTGGAGGGGCGTGAAGGGGATGTGGTGGGAGAGAGATGGAAGAAGGAGGGGAGGCTGAACGGGGATTTTCCCTGGGGAGGGCCTCTGCCCGCAGGTTTGTTTTTTTTTTTTAAAGATTTTATTTATTTATCTGACAGAGAGAGATCACAAGTAGGCAGAGAGGCAGGCAGAGTGAGAGGGGGGAAGCAGGCTCGCCACTGAGCAGAGAGCCCGATGCAGGACTCCATCCCAGGACCCTGGGATCATGACCTGAGCTGAAGGCAGAGGCTTTAATCCACTAAGCCACCCAGGTGCCCCTGCCTGCAGGGGTTTTAAGCAGGAGTAGGATGAGATCCCTCTGCCTGCCACAGGTAAAAAAAATGTGGTAATACCTGGATTCATGGGAACACGTGTAAGAACATAACAGTCATGAGAAGGTTGTCGAAGAATGTTCAGAGCTCTTAAAACAGCGTGGGAATGGGGGGTTTTGGGCGGCTTTGGTGGAGGTGGGGGGGTGAGGAATCAATCTTAAAAAAATTCAGCAAATATTTGTTACGTGCCTGGCCCCATGCACCGGCGGCGTCCACCGCACCCCAGCTCAGAGAAGCGGTGGGCATCCCCCCACCAAATGCGACAGGTGGGATGTGGAGATAGAGAAGCGGTACCTGGGAAGACCTTCGTCCTGCCATTCTTCCTTCACATCCACGTTTTCCATCCGGAGCGTGGCTTCAGTGGTCCCCATGAGAACCGAGGAGAGGCACTGACGTGAAGCAGAGATGAACCCTGAAGGTGGGCCAAACGGAAGCCTTACTGGACGGTCATTGTATTAACAACCCCCCACCCACGTGTGGCCCTTCAGATCAACATGCAGAATGTTGCATCCTTCGTTACACTGAATCACGGACAAGCCCCAGGAGGTTTCCCCAGGTCCCAGGTGAGAAAACAGAGATGTAGAGAGCTGACTACCACCACATGGGTCTGGAATTTGAACCCAGGTGAGGGGCTGAGTCACCAGGTATCAGCCCACCTTGCTATGAAGCTCTGAAATCCGTTCTCCTTAGGGCTCATCATCCCTCCCTTACCTTGGATTTAAACTGGGAAGCAATAAATCCAACTAAAATCATTTATACTAAAGTGTTAGTGACTAATATACTTAAGCTTCCTCGCTGGGACTCTTTTTTGGTTTCTTTTAAAAGATTTTTAAAAATTTTATTTATTTATTTGAGAGAGACCGAGATTAAGAGCGAGAGAGCACAAGCAGGATGAGAGGCAGAGGGAGAAACAGACTCCCCACTGTGCAGAGAGCCCCATGCGGGACTCCATCCTGGGACCCCAGCATCATGACCTGAGCTGAAGGCAGGTGCTGAACCGACTGAACCACCCCGGTGCCTGGGGCTGACGCTTTCAAATAGGACCTGGTTGACCCCAGCCGACCTCTGCCTTCTCCAGGTTACCTGCCCTGCTCCTTTACCCCCAACAAAGAAGCAGGTCTCGACCCCACGACCTCAGGACTAGGGCCGGCAGCATGGAAAGAGACTGGGGCTGGAAGCTGGGGTCGTAATTCTTACTAAGCACAAAACACAAGTTTTGTTTTTGTTTTTCTGAGGAGCTGGGAACCGGATGGGGAGACAGGCAGCACCCTGAATAGTGACTCCCCCGGTCACCAGTAGCCCCATCCGCAAACCGAAAAGTTGCACTAGAAAGGAGCTTTATGTAATACCTTTTTGGACATAACATTCCAGGATCTTAAACTTGGTCAACTCCATGGGTTCCACGCTTTGAAACCAGTGGCTTCCAACTGCGGATAATGTTGCCCTCGCCCCTTCCCCCAGGAGACACTTGCCAATGTTTACAGGCATTTTGGTGTCCCAGCTTGGGGAGGAGGCTACTGGGATCAAGTGCCCGGAGCCCAGGGATGCTGCTCAACACCGCAAGGGGCTCAAGATGCACCCCCTCAGGACCAAGAACGATCCAGTCGAACCGCCCGTAGATGAGATCGAGAAACCCTGTCTTAACTGAACGCTTGGGAAGGGAACTTGGGCTGGGCTTGACAGTCACTACAGAGCGCTCCCTGTGTCCTTGCCGCCCATCCTCCAAGCAGCTCCTGGGTTCTTATTCGCACACGCCAGCACCTAAGCCTTCCCCCACCCCCGTCCCCACCCCCCACCCTTCCAGATGCCGAGGCTACCCCTCTGCAGAGCCGGTGCAAGGCTAACGGTTTGGGCGTGGATAGCAGCCCTCGTGGGCGGGGTCTGCATTCGCGGTTGCGGGTCCGGGTCGGGGTGGGGAGAGGGAAGAGGGAAGGCCAGGCAGCGGGGGAGGGGTAACTAAAATTAGACACCCCCCCTCCCCCGCCACACACACTTGGGTGAGAGTTTCCCACTGGATTCTTGTCACCGTTCTGAATGTCGTCATTCATTCATGGAGGAGGGACAGTAAGACGCAGTACGCAAAAAAAAAAAAAAAAAAAAAAAAAAAAAAATCTCTTCTTATGCCTGGGGCGAGAACAACCACCCAGAACCTTGCTGCAGGAGAAAGTTAGGGTCAATGGAAATGAATTTCCTTTCGGGGGAGAGCGAGGTCTCTGCATCTGTTTTCCTTATCCCGAGCCGGGTGTGACCTCAGCCCCCAGGAAGCATAACCCCCCCAATCCCACCTACGGCAGGGACCCTGGAGCCACACATGCCGGCCCCACGATCCTCTCAATGTGGGGTGTGGTGGGTCCCCGTGGGCCCTGCACACTCCTGTCCTAAGATCCCGACTTCACGTTTGAGGATGGAGAATGAGACAAGGCGAGGGGCCGCTCGGCTGCGAGGCTCGGCTCTGTGCTGTTGAATTACCGGTGTATCACATTCAAATTCAGACGGGGAAGGAGGAATCAGTGCTCAGCCTTCTCCCTTCCTTCCCACCCCATAGGCAAGCCTCTGTGTACACATCTAGCAAGTCTTTTTTTTTTTTTTTCCTCCAAATCCGCTCACGGTGTTATAAATAGGGAATGCACAGAGATGGGACGTGTACATCTCGGTCTCTTAGGAAGCGTCCCAGAGAGAGGCTGAGGGTTTTATCAGCCTAATCTCTAAGCACGTCCTGAAAATGGTGCAGTCCTCGGCCGAGCAGGTGCACGGTGGGCACGGAAGGCAGACTGTGGGTGTGTGTGCCTGCGGATGCTTTTCCCCGGCACCGGGAGACATGGCTGTGTTGCCATCCGGAGAATCACAAGACCGCGGCTCCCCGCCGGCTCCAACCCGCCCCACCTGCCAGAAGGGGCTTTGCGGCCGCGGATGCCTCGGGACAGACCTCGCCGGGCAGGGCTGCGAGAAAGGAAGGGGGACTCACCTCGGAGGCCTCCGCCGGTTACGCGCAAACAAAGGCGAGCCCGGCGCGGAGGCAGCCGGACACCCCTCGCCTTCGGAGCGCAGTCCCCGGGCCTTCAGAGCATCCGAGGAGGACGCGCGCAGGGGCGGACTCCGAACCCGGTGAAGGTCACCCGAGCAACGTGGCGGCGCAGATGGGCGCTTTCGTCCGGAGGTGGGGGACGGCTGCAGCGAGCGGGCGGCGGCCCCTTGGCCGGCCGCGCTCGAGGCCCCTGCCACCGCCGCGGACCGTGCCTCCGAGGTGTTTTCTCCTCGCCAGCTCGCAGCTGGCGGAGGCTCGGCTGCCTTGAGACAGTTAATTATGCTGCTTTTGTGTGCAGGGTGGGTGAGTGGGGGCAGGGCCGACCGAAAAGCACAGCCCCTGCCAGAATCCGGTGCTCCCCATTGGCTGAAAGGGGAGTATTTCCAAGAGACTCACCAGGGGCAGAAGCGGAAATGATTTCCCGATGGCGCATCACAGATTTAAGAACAAAACAAGGAACAAACAAACAAATAAATAAACGACGGCGATGGCCTCATTCCCTAGATTAGGAGGGAGGGAGAGAGGGAGGGGAAATAGCTTTAGGACCCCATTCCCTGGGTCCCTAGCCGGTCGCTCCCTGTGGACCGAGCCGCGCGGGCCGAGGACCCCGCTGCGTGCTGGCGAGGCCAAATCCTCCGAGACACACTTGCTGGGGAGGGGGTGGGCACCGAGGGAAAGGCGCCCCCTGCAGTTGTGCGCCGCAGGGGCCCTGCCTTGGCAGACGCATTAAGAGAGCAACCTCTGAAATCCGATCAGAAGGGGGTTCGAACCCTGGCTGGGAGGCTAACGAGCGGGGACACACCACGGGGTGAGTGATCTTACCTGCCGGGCCTCAGTTTCCCCATCCCTGAAACGGAAACATCATGGTACTGGCGTTTGGGCGCGTCATGAGATGATGTAGGAGAGCACTTCGCAGGGCGCCCGAGAGAGCTTCTCTACGTGGTTTGTGTTGCTGTGTCTATTTTTAGACCTGTAGCGGGTTGAATGGTGGCCCCCCACGAGACGTGACCATGTCCTAACCTCTGGAACCTGTGAATCTGACCTTATTCGGAAAAAGGGTCTTTGCAGACGGAATTAGGAATCCAGGACTCTCATCTGGAGATGAGGTCCCGTAGATTTACGGTGAATCCCAAATCCAACCACAATTGTCTTTACATCTGCAAACCAAGGAATGCCAAGGATCGCCAGCAACCCCCAGAACCTGGACAGGCATAGAATGGATTCTCCCTCACAGTCTCCAAAAGCAACCAACCCTGTCAGTACCTTGAGTTTCAACTTCTGGCCTCCAGAACTGCCAGAGAATAGATTTCTGTGGTGATTTTTTTTGGGCGGGGGGGTGGGGGGACCTGTACCTGGTTTCTGATACTTTGTTACAACAGCCCCAGGAAATGAACCAATCCCCCCACCCCAGTAGGAGCCCGATGCCTATTGCTTTTTCACTTCAGTGGTTTTTCACCTGTTCTGTAAACACATCCCACCACAGGGCCTTTGAACCTGCTGTTCCCACTGCTGGGAACACTCATCTTACGTTATTCAGGTGTCTCTCCTCAGAGAGGCCTTCCCCAACCACTGCTATCTTGCCCCTCACTCTCTTACCCCATTCCATTGCCCAGTCTGATTTTTTTTAAGTATATACATTTTTTTAAAAGATTTTATTTATTTATTTGACAGACAGAGATTACAAGTAGGCAGAGAGGCAGACAGAGAGAGGGGGAAGCAGGCTCTCCACTGAGCAGAGAGCCCAATGTGGGGCTCGATCCCAGGACCCTGGGATCATGACCTGAGCTGAAGGCAGGGGCTTAACCCACTGAGCCACCCAGGTGCCCCAAGTATATACATTTTAAAATTGTGGTAGAATACTCATAATATAAAATTTATCATTTTAACCATTGGGAAGTGTATAGTTCAGGACATGAAGCACACTCCCATGGCTGTGCAACCATCCCCACTATCTATTTTGAGAACTTCTTCATCTTCCAGAACTGAAACTCTGTCCCCATTAAACTAACTCCCCATCTCCTGGCTCCAAACCCCTACAACCTCTAACCCACTTTCTATCTCTGTGGATTTGCCTGTTTTGGACATACCATATAAATGAAGCCATACACTGTTATTTCTTTATGTCTGGCCTCTTTGGTTGAGCATAATTTTTCAAGGATCACCTGCATTGCAGCGTCAGTGCTCTGTTCCTTTGGGTGGCTAAAGAGTATATTCCACTGTATACATGAGTCACATTTTGTTTATCCGTTCACCAGCTGATGGACATCGGGGCTGTTTCCACTGTTTGGCCGTTGTGAGTAGTGCTGGTGTGAACGGGGCGTACACAGACTTATCTGGGTCCCTGTTTTCAGTTCCCTCAGGTACACACCTGGGAGTGGAATTACCAGGGTATAGAGTAGGTCTGTGTTTCACTTACTGAGGAGCTTGATTGCCCCCACCCCGCCAACAGCACTTACCAGTATTTGAGATTATTTACTTATTTCTTTGTTTATTCTCTGACCCCCAGCTAGATTATAAAATTCAAGATAAAAGAGACTTGGTTGGTCTTTTTTTAAAAAAATATTTTATTTATTTATCCGAGAGAGAGAGAACAAGCAGGGGGAGTTGCAAGCAAAAGGAGAAGCAGACTCCCCACTGAGCAGGACCCCGGGATCCCAGGACCCCGGGGAACATGACCTGATCCGAAGGCAGACACTTAACCGACTAAGGCCCCCAGGTGCCCCCGACTTGGTTGATCTTGTGCATGGCCATGTTCTCTGCAGAGGGCAGCAGCACCCAGCGTAGAGGAGACTTCTGGGAGATGCAGGTGGAATGTGTGGATGCTGGTTCCCCTCATGGAGGTAAGACAGTACTCTGCTCACGTTGCTGCCTCACTCACTGCATCAGGGTCTGTGCCCTCCAAGCCCAAGGCAGAAAGGCGTTGCCCCAGAGCAGGGGAGGAGAGCTAGAGCCTCCTGGCTGGAGGAAGTGGAGCTCTGGGAAGAGACACTTTACTGTCAGTTGAATGGGAAATCCAGGCCAGTCTTTGTGTTGGGCACTAGGGTCCAGTGTGTGAATCAGAAAGACTTTGCTTTTGCAGAACTCCCATTTGGAGAAACAGATGGGCAAAGGAGTCTGGGCTGATTTAGAGACGTCTTTGGAGCAGAGTGGCTTGGGGAAGGGCGCATGGGAAGACTTCCCGGGGTGGAGGGTGGGCAGTAACGACGTGAGTTGGGCCCTGAGGAGTGGACAGGAGTGGGAGGGATGAAGAAGCAGGAGAAAGGCATTCTGGACAGATTTACAAAGCCCCGGTCCCGCCCCTACGAGCGGGCACAGGGAGCTGTCCGTGGTGCTGCGGCCATTGCCGAGCCGCCGTTGCAGAAACCAGGCTTGGCTCTTGTAAGGTTTATTTTTAACGGTGGTGGAAATATACATACATACCAAAAAATTGCCTTTCTGATCACTTTTAAGTGTCACATTCAGTGGCATCAATTACATTCACAGTGTGCAACCATCCCCACCAACCATCTCCAGAACTTTTTCACTTTTCCAAACCGAAACTCTGTCCCCATGAAACACTAACTGCCCTGTACCCGCAGTTCGCCGTTCTCCCATAAGTTTCTTTCTTCTCTTTTCCTTTTTTTAAAAGATTTTATTTATTTATTAATTTGACACAGAGGGAACTCAAGCAGGGGGAGTGGGAGAAGGAGAAGCAGACTTCCCACTGAGCCCAATGCAGGGCTCGATCCCACGCCCCCAGGAATCATGACCTGAGCCAAAGGCAGACGCTTAACGACTGAGCTTAACGACTGAGCCCCGCAGGCGCCCCTGCAAGTTTCTTGAGATCAGAGATGTTGCACTTTGTGGTTGTTGTGTCTCAAGTCCCTAGACCAGTGGTTCTCACGGTAGGGCAGGGATTCTGCCCCTAAGGGACACTTGGCGGTGTCTGGGAACATTTTTGGTTATCATGACTTGGGGGATGGAGACGATGTTGGCGTTGGGTGGGTGCAGACCAGAGATGCTGCTCACATCCTACGACATACACGCCAGGCCCCCCACAACGGAGAATTCTCTGGCTCCAAATACCAACAGCATGGGTTGAGAATCCCTGTGCTAGAGAAACACGTGACTCATAGTCTGTTCTCACTGAACGGGGTTGAGGCAATGAAATTGCTGAAGCTCCTTGACTGTCCTTTTCCTGATTTGCACAGGGGATTAATACAAGGACATTCACGCCCCATTATTAGTTGCTTCTGTATTTGTAAATCTGCCTACTGCCTGAAATTAATCTGTAATGTTTGTAACCTCCAAATCAATACTCCCAGTGGTTTCAGGGTCATTGCAGACAACGCAGAGTGGTGAAAACTTTGAGTGCTGCCACACATGTTCCCAACTGGGTTTGAACAAAGCACCACTTTGCCAACTTATTCCAGCCCAGGTTGTAAATGGCCCCTTTCGGGATCCATTTACTACCACGATTTTTGCATTTTTGCCCTTTCGTTGGTGGTTTTGCTGTTTCCAATGGCCCCCGCGTGCACTGCTGTCTGGTGTTTCTGAGCACAAGAAGGCTGTGGTGTAGCTTACAGAGAAAATATATGTGTTAGTTACACTTTATTCAGGCATGAATTATACTGCAGTTGGCTGTTAACGAATCAACCATGTGTATTAAATAAGGTGTCTTTAGACAGAAGCATACAGAGCACCAGATTATGTGTTGATGAGTTGATGAAAATATTGTGACCAGAGGCTCGCAGGAACCTACCCCAGGCTTTCCCCCAGGGGCCATGCTCCAGCATTCATTCTCGCTGGGTTTGCTGCAACTTTATAAGACAGAGCTGCTGCCCATAATGAGAAGGAACTGTATCTACTTCTAGGGACTACTGTAAGGACCAGATAAGAGGGAAAGATATTATGTAATCCAGAGAAAACACTGAAACAGACTTGCTTTTGTATAAAGCATGTAGCCGTCCTTCGCTCCTTGGAGCTGCAGGGATTTGGAAGGACGCCCTGTGTAATTACCACTCTGAACTCTAGCCAGGGCATGGTGGGAGAGTGGCACTTGCCAGACCCGCTCAATTGTTCCTGGTGACCACACATGGTCATGAAGACTCAGGTGGAAGAATGCCATCCACTCAACCACCCATACGGCTTTCCTTGGTACCCTGGGCTTGCCATGGTTTCTGTCCAAGAATTAACTAGCCCTGTGCCCACTTCATATCAAGGAGGAAAGGAATACCACCCCTCCACAGTCGGTACATGTA